ATATCATCATATAATCATACCACAACTCATCAATAATCTCTTAACACGTTTTCAAAATTTCATGTCATGACCATCAAAATTATTCTAAGTTAAAATCATCAATTTTTCACCTAAAATTTGCATTGCATTTATCACTAATACACATTATTCTAAGACACTTTCATGTACAAACTTTTTCCAATTGAGCTCTCTAACATCATACATCAAACAATGCAAGGCTTAGGTCTCAAAATCAAATCATCACATTCAACCAATTAAAATGAAAGAACACTCACCCAAATGGAAGGTACAAGACTCCTCCTAACTATACTCTACCATTGGAGCACTTGGAAGCTCCAAGAACATGGATTTTTCCTCACAAGTCGCAGCTGAAAATGGGCAGGATCTCCTCACACAGACGATTTCAAGGCTCAAGAGTGGTACCAATGTGTTTAGAAGGTTCTCTTCATCGAATTTCAACACAAGGATCAAGTGTTTTGGTGGAGAAATGGCTAAGTTAGGTCCAAAGGAAAATTTGCATGAAGAAGGGGGAGGAGAGGGCTGTTGTGCGGGTTTGGGGAGAGAGAAAGAAGGGAGGAGATGATGAATAGTAAAGAAATGAGGTGGACATAAGTGGTTTTAAGTGGGGTGGGTCCCACACCATCTCACGCGATCTAAAACTTGTCCGAACGGTCACTAAACGTCCTTAAATTCAAAACATATTTAGAAATTCTAATTTTTAACATTAACTATTCTCCTTTTATTATACTTGATCAGATGAATCCGGAGTTTTCCGGTCGTTCGGAGAAAACACTATTTTAAGCTGTTGCGCACGCCGTTGGCACGCTTTCCCAAACTGACTTAATTCCATCAAATATTATCAGAAATCATATTTCCTATTTTCATAGACCATTTATAAATCATATTTGAAACTTAGAGTTCAAAACTCAATCGACACATTTTACGGTGCAATCGTACCGCAATATTTTTACCCGCGAAAAACACTATTCACTGATTTTTCTGAAACTTGCCTATCCACTCAACTTTTCGTTATGAATCCATTTCCAGGGTTATTTTTATCATCGGAGACCTTATACTCAAATTTTATCTTCTTAGGGTTGCGTGCATGGCTAATTACCATTTTGCCCTTTCTTTGTATTTTGGCATAATCTTCAAGATTTTCACTAATACTTCACTTAAATACTCACTTAATACTTTAAATATTTAATTTAGAAATGTGAGGTGTCATACATCTAACTCGAACAGATTATCTAGTTTGTGGTTGCACCTCAAAATTCGGCTCTGTTTCACCTTGAACTTTTGTATGTTCTAGTTTTGTCTCACCTTTAGTTGGTGGTTCTTCCTTGTCTGCCCTCCTCATTGTTCTGTTAATTGGATTCTCCCCCTACTTCAACTCAGATAGGGGAGACATGGTCTTCTTAACAAGCTACAACTTGGACCTTAGGATTTTGGACGTCTTCAATGGTCTGATTCTTCAAGAACACAACATCCTGGCTTCTTACAACCTTCCTGTTGACTGGATCCTAAAGTCGATAAATGAACTCATCCTTTGGTGAGTCAAGGTAGATACATTCATTAGTTTTTGCATCCATCTTTGCTCATTCATCCTTGGGAATGTGGACAAATGATCACCATCCAAACACCTTTAAATGCACATACTTTGCCTTTCTGCTCGTCTAGACTTATTCTGGGATCTCTCCATCTAGAGGACTTGAAGGTGATAAATTGATTAAATTTATTACGATTTTTATGGCTTCTCCCTGAAACTCCTTAGGAAGTTTGGCATAAGACAACATACTTCAGACTCACTCATCAATGGTTGGTTCATCCTTTCAGCTACACCATTTAGCTGAGGTGTCTTCTCTAGCTTTAGACATGCTTTCCTACAGTACATCTCAAATGGACCTCGGTATTCTCCATCATTGTCAGCTCGAACGACCTTCAGCTTTCTGCTGATCTTTCTTTCAACCTTTGCATGGAACTCATTGAATGCTTGGAGTACTTGATCTTTTGTATTTAGCAAGGATACCCACACTCTTTTGGTATGGTCATTAATGAATGTGATGAATTAATACACACCACCTAAAAATTTCTCTGACATAGAACACACATTAGTATGAATAAGATCGAGAACATACCTCCTTCTAGGTTGGCTCGGTCTCTTGAATGAAACTCGCCATTGCTTGCTGGCTAAATAGTGTGTGCATGTCTCCAAGAGTTGACTCTCAAATATGACAACAGTTCCTTCTTGGTGAGAATTTGCAGACCCTTCTCACTAATGTGTCTGAGTCTCTTGTGCTAGAGCTCTAGACTTGATTCATCTTGGATAGCATTGATATCTCCATTACCGACCTTCCCTTGCATAACATAGAGAAATCCTTCCTTTTGACCTCGAGCTACCACCAAGATTCATTTGGCGAGTTTCCATTTCCCTCCACCATAGTAGTTTACTAACCCGGCTTCATTAAGCTTACCTACTGAGGTGAGGTTGAGTCACATGTCAGGAACAGGCCTGACCCCCTTCAGAACCAATCTACAATCCATGTCGATAATCATCGTGACTTTTTCAACTCCCACTATCTTGCTAGTAACCTAGTTACCCATCTTTACTCTACCAAATTTGTCGTCTAGATATGATGGGAATAACTCCTTATGAGGGATGACATGGAAGGATGCTCATGAGTCCACAACCCATAAACAGTCGTCATAGACTATTGAAATAATTGTCTTCACCAATTAGAAAGACGTCGACCTCGACATTGGCTGCTATGGTCGTGGTGCTCTGCTATTATTTCTTCCTTGGATCTATCGTGTCCGGTTTAACATATTCCCGTCCTCTGATCCTTCTCCAGAGTTCGACATTCAGACTTCCAGTGACTCGATCTTCCATAATAGAAATATGTCAGGTCAGGCCTCGACTTTGTCCGGCCTCTAAACTTGTCTATACCATGACTTTTACTTCTACCTCGGTATGGCGTTCTTCCATAATATTCGACTACATTTGCTTCATACTGGTGGGTTATGCCCCATTTTTTCCTTCTAGCCTCTTCAATTCAGCAGGCTGCCTGTAACCGAATCCATGGTCATCTTTCCTTTTGGGTCCGAGTTGCTAAGCGTCACCATCAAAGCATCTCAGCTCTCAGGCAACAAGCTGAAAGGCAAAAGTGCTTGCCACTCGTTCAATCTTCATGTTAATCTTCGTTAGCTAATTAATGATCCCTTTATATGTATTTAAATGCTCAATCATACTATATCTACTCTTGTAGTCTAACTTCACAAGAATAGTCATAGCATGATTGACGATCCCCTTATCCTTTATTAGAAATTCTCATTCCGCCATTACGGCCTCTTGCACTATCATCTCCTTCTTTCAATTTTTTATTTTTTAAAAAAAGTACAAAAGAGAAAAACCTAATTATCTAAAAGTATTCTCATTTTCATTTTATCCTTATTCACTTTAAATCTTCATCTATAGACGATAATGTATTTTCTCATTCATTTTAATTACTTTTACATTTGTAAAATAAAGTAAAAATAGCAAGCTATATGTAATTGACCCGTATTTCTTATCAGATCCATTTACGTCCAATAATTGTTTATTTCGTTGAGATGGAAGATTAAAAGATATATCACTTGAATAGCATCATGTTCCATAAATAATATAGCAACATTCATTGTTCTGAACCGAGGGGGACAAAAAAAAAAAACACCACAAACAGAAATACAAAGGTAGTGTGCAGGTGACTTTAACCAGTGGCGTAGCCACTTTAGTGCCTGCTGGTACCTTGGCACCAGTTTACTTTTAATAAATTGTACTTACAATATATAATCATATAATTAATTATAATTTAGTCATGGTTAAAATTATAATTTGGCACTGCCTAAAAATTAAAATATTTTTTTGATATACAAATAGAAATTAAACACACAACTTAATACAAATTAGCCAAATATTTTATCACTTCTTGTGACTTAATTAAAATATATTTACAATTACAAATTATCGAAGTCAAATCTCTGCTCTCTGTCTCTACTTTAGTCTAGCTACAAATTACTCAAACAAACACGCAACCCGACAGGCACGTTGTTCGAAGGTCTTCTCATTACAGTATGATGGGAGATGCAAGAAAGGGGTTCATTTTGAAAGCTTTAAAAGCTTTAAAAAAAAGGGTAGTCTGGTAGTGATGCTCAAAGGAAAAAGATGAAGTTTGAGTACTACTGATGGTCTGATGGAGTTGCTTCCCCTTCCCCTCATCCTCATCCTCTGGTAGTTTTATTTTTATATTGTTTTTTTTTTAATTTTTTTTATTTCGGTGAGCTATTGACGATTATCAGATTATGTTTATTTATTTTTTGTATTTTCTTGATTTATTGTTATCTGGGTTCCAATGTTCTGTACTTTTGTTGATGTTTTACTTGGTTTGTTTTATTGGTGTTATGGTATCAAACATTTGGAAGAAATTTGCATTCGAAAACAATTAATTAATAGAAGAAAGTTCCCATCGGTGAGTTATTGTTTTATTGATTTTATTTAATTAAGTTTGGCTGCTTGAGTTATTGTTTTATTGGTTTTATTGAATTAAGGTTTTAATTTGGTTACAAATTAGAGATAGTGGATTGTTAATATAAAAATCTGAAAGCTCACTTCAAATAACTGTAGGAAGACAAGGGATTGTTAATATCATTGACAAATATTTCTATAACGGCTTGTTTAAGAAGACATATAGGAATATAAAAATAAAAAGAGAGAGAGAGAGAGAGAGAGAGAGGATAAGAATATAAAAATAAATCTTTATTTTCAATAAAAAATGAAGATGTACATAAAGAAAAAAAAATGTATAGAAACAGACGTGCCTAAGTAAAGAAGTTTACAAATCAATGGTTATTAAATCCTTATTTATAAAAATTAATGTTTTAAGTTTACAAATTAAAACACCCATAATGTGTAGTATAATCATTTGTTATTTCTTAAATTTGAAAATTGATTAGGTTGGAGAAATATGGGCAAGGATAAACAGAAAAGTATAGATGTATTCTTTAAGAAGAAAGTAGCCTCTGATGGTGCTACCAGTGATGCTCCTGCAAACATAATTTCTGAAAGTGATGCACCTTCTCATGAGCAACCTCCTTCCAAGTGTCATAGAATTGAGCATGCTGAAGAAATTATTATAGTCAAAAATAAAAGTTTTGAACGTGATCCAGGCAAGTGTAAGCCAATTTGGGAATATTCTGCTAATGAAGTCGATGAGATACGAAGAGCTTATTTAATAGCTGGGCCATATCAACCTCAATGCTCCTATCCATTTTCAAAGGAAAAGCATCCTCGACGTTTTCAAGCGTCTTGGTTCAAAGAATTATCTTCGTGGCTTGAGTACTCACCTTATGTAGATGCTGCATTTTGTTTACCATGCTATCTTTTCTCTAAAAAGGTCGGCGGGCGACATGGTTGGGATGCATTCACAATCAAAGGTTTTAACAGTTGGCATAGAGTTCATAGTGGAAAGTATTGTGCTTTTCTAAGTCACATGGGAGATGATCCTTGTTCACAACATACTAATGCACTCATCTCATGTGTAGACTTAATGAATCAGTCTTGCCATATTGATAAAGTTATGCATGCTCAAAGCTCCCAACAAATTGAACAAAATAGGCTGCGTGTTAAGACTTCAATTGATATGCAGAATATCTGTGGCCAAGGATATGATGGCGCTAGTAACATGCGTGGTGAATGGAATGGATTGCAAGCACTATTTCTTAAAGAGTGTCCTTGTGCTTATTATGTGCATTGTTTCGCTCATCGATTGCAATTAGCCTTGGTTGCTGCCTCTAAGGAAGTTTCTTCTATTTATCAATTCTTTCAGAATTTGAATTTCATCATCACTATTATCACTGCTTCTTCTAAGCGTCATGATCAATTCCAAGCTGCCCAAATTTCTGAATTTGAACATTTGCAGGCTATTGGTGAGCTTGAAACTGGTACAGGTTCTAACCAGGTAGGTACACTAAAGAGGGCTAGTGATACTAGATGGGGTTCTCATTTTTATTCTTTATGCAGTCTTCAACGTGGGTATAATGAATCATGTTCAGTACTTGAAAAAATTTGTACTGAAGGCTCAAATTATTCTCAAAGAGGAGATGCTACTGCAGCTTATAAGATGATCACTTCTTTTGAGTTTATTTTTAATTTACTTTTGATGAAGGGATCATGGGTATCACTGAAATTCTTTGTCAAGCATTACAACAAAAATCTCAAGATATTTTGAATGCTGTACAATTAGTTTCAAGTACAAAGGAACTTATTCAAGAATTACGAGATGATGGTTGGAAAAGAATACTTGAAGGTGTTGTTAATTTCTCCAAGCTTCAGGAAATAGATGTTCCAGATTTTGATGCTCAATATATTGAAGGTCGTGGTCGTCGACAACATAATCAAATAACTATTGAGCATCACTATCATTTTGATATCTTTAATCTAACCATTGACTTTCAAATACAAGAGTTAGAAGAAGGTTTAATGAGCAATCAAAGGAACTTTTATCACTTAGCTCTTCATTAAATCCGAAGGATGGTTACAAAGCATTTAATGTTGATGATATTTGCAGTCTTGCAGAGAAATACTATCCTCTTGATTTTTCTGAGCATGAGAGAATTAATTTGAATTGTCAATTGAAGCATTTTCACAAGGACATCCCAAAACATCTAATACTTCAAAGTTTATCTTCAATTTCTGAGTTGTGTCAAGGATTAGCTAAGACAGGAAAGTCAAATTCCTATCATTTGGTTGATAGGCTAATTCGTCTTATTTTAACTCTACCAGTTTCAACAGCAAGTGGTGAACATGCATTCTCAGCAATGAAAATTGTGAAAACAAGGCTTCGAAACAAAATGGAGGATGACTTTCTTGCAAATAATTTGATTGTGTATATTGAAAGAGAGATTGCTGAAACTTTTACTACAGATTCTATCCTTGAAGATTTCGTCAATTTAAAAGAGCGTCGTTTACAATTTTAGGTATGCATTTTTTTATTATATTTTAAATTATTTATTAAATGTTATTATGCATATATGTATTATATTTGTGTGTTTTTATATCCTTAGGACAATGCTTGGTTCATTACTTATTATGCTGTGGGAGGAAAATGAAATTCTTATGTTTGAAATGTTTATCGGAAAGGTTAGTGCCTTTTTATATGTTTGTTTTGATATATAATCATTGATAATTGTTCATTTGAATTTTCAATGTTATGTGACATTATTTAATATATAATTTAAATAACTATGTTAGAATTCATAGTAAATTTTTTTCCTGATTAATTTGCGTAATTACAATAAATATTCTAATAATTTAATTTGTCAAAAAAATGTTGGCACCACCTAAATTTTTACTCTGACGACTCCGCCAGTGACTTTAACTTTGAGTTGTTTTTGCTTCTTGTTCAGTCAAGGTCACACATTTGTCTCAAGACTCATCAATTTCTGGCTAGGACCCATTTCCATTTTGCACAAAGTCAGTGATACTGTCTTTACTACGAATTTATTTTCGGTATACCGGTATTACATATATTTCGCCAAAAAAATGAAAGAAAGAGATAGTGGAAATAAACATAAAAATAAGGGTAATGTAAAGATATTATTTTTTATTTTATTTAATAAAATAAACATAAAAGCCAGGAGTAACGAAAATATTTTCCTTTACTACCCATTGCAATTTTGCTAGTGCATTCTTTTTCTATTATTTTTTAAAACACCTTTTTAAAAATTTGATGGATTTGACCCACAAATTGACCACCTAATCTATAAAATATTTCAAAGTGGTAACTAGAATGATATCCATGGTAACAATAAAGTTCAGGAAAAGGTAAGAAAAGGGTCCCCTCCTCTATAACAGAGAAAGTTTACTGCTTTGCAAAGTGCAAACGGATGGGTCACTTATATACGGTACTAAAACAACAAATATCATAAGTAATATATTGCAATTTTCAATTTGAGTTTTGATCCTTAACCTTTTGGACTATTAACTAGCATGTGTTTGATTTTTTTCAGTATTATATTTTGGAGGGGTTTAAGTCTTAATCCTAAATCCTTTCCGAATCAGACTAGTCGCAAAGCGATGAATTGATTAGAATATTTTCAGAAAAAAAAAAAAACATTATCATTTCTGGGCTATGGCTACAGGATACATAGAATAAAATCAACAAAAATAACTTACTTTCAATAAAATTATCTTCGAATTTATTTAGGCCCTGCTTCAAAAAATTACTATACGTTAAAATAAACTTACTGAATAAATTTTTCTTGTCAATATTTTTATTTTTTTTACGATAAAATTGTGATGCAGTTAATAAAAGGTAAAAAAACTATTCCTTTTAAAAACTTAATACGTTTTTCCTTACAAATCACTCAAAACTTTTGGCCAAGGCATATATATATAACTCCGTAATTACTCTTAAGTTTTGCTTTAGTTAACCAATAAAATGATATATTAGATTGTAAATAGATCATTGGTTACCTGTAAATAAGTTACAGGTTGTTAAATTAATATTTATTTAATTAATATACGAACAGAAATGAAAAGATCATATGTAGTAGTTAATTATGTTTATGTTTTGTGCTAAATTATGTTATTTTTTAGTTCAAAAAAGTTATACAATCTGAAATTAATGAAAAACTTATTAGTAAGTCGCACTGATAAGTAACCCTGAAAGTTGATATGATACTTTGGTATTATTTCAAGATTCTGATAAAATTTGATGATCGTTAATTATTCATTGATTTTGGTTTTTTTTACAATAAATACTAAAAAAATTTAAAGTGAAATCACCAACCAATAAATATATAATAATTAATCAAGCAAGAATGCTTGATTAATATACAGGAGTAATCCCTTTAAGCTTTCAAGCAAGAATGCTTATCCACAATGGACCAAGGAATCACCTTTAAAATAATTATAAAACTGAAGGATCGTAAGTTTTCTCTTCCTACTACATTAAAAAAATATAGTTATATCTTGCTTTTTGTTGGGTTAGGAATTTAGGATCGAGATATGTTGCAAGGGCGCTTGACTTAGAACAGCAGAATTATGGATGAACTCAGCTATTTGAATCTTGATCCGTCCACAACGCATAGTATATGACTCTATTGGAACTTGAAAAGGTCACATTTTGTCATTGCCATGATCACTATGATTTTTTCAATATCATAGGGAACCACCAATAAAAAGTTATTAAATAGGAGTTAGAAACGAGAAAGATTTTAGAATATATATATATATATATATATAATGGGCTTAATGGCGCCATCATCTTATATTAATTTAAAAATAAAAAAATCTTATATTCAATCTTAATTATTGATCTCTTGCATTTATTCACATATTTAATAAATATTGGGTAATAGGAGGAACCCATGATAAGGGACAACTACCACCAATGGAATAAGTAACAATCTGTCACAATAAGTGAGTTCGACACCACATCTCAATCTAAAATTTTAAGACATTAATTTTATGCGTCCTTTCACTTATATGTATGGTAGTGGAGAACTATCACCAATAGGATAAGCAAAAATCTGCCACAATAAATGGGGCCGATACTATATTTCAATCCAAAACATCAAGACGTTAAGTTTATGCGTTCTTTTGCTATCACTCATACTTGAATTTCTAAGGGAAGAGTTATATTTACAAACTTTTTGTTTACAAACTCTTACAAACTACACCATGTTCTCCCGGGAGAACACTAGGTTACACTATGATCTCCCAGGAGTACATAGTGTAATTTGCAGAAATTTGTAAAAAAAAATTTGTAAACAGATCATTCCCCCAATTTCTAATCTGTTCTTAAGTGTGTGCCCTACATATGTCAACTCCCCCTTAAATGAAAGCCAATCTTGGTTTCACAACATAGGTTTTCTGCAACCTACAAATCCGAACGTCAATCACCATCTCTAAATACTCGGCCCAACTGCCAATCAACCATTGACTCTAATACCAGAGTTGGGTAACAGAGGGAGCCAGTGGTAGGGGAGAACTATTATCAATGAGCTAAGCAACAAGCCACCACAATAAATGGACTCGACACCACATTTCAACACAAAATCTTAAGTCATTAGGTTTATTGGTCCTTTCACTTATATCTTCCATGCTTAGCTTATTCCTTTTCAATACTGGACTTTATCACCACACTTAAATTTTTAATAATGAATTAAAACCATTAAGTATAAATATAATCAACAACTAAGATTAAGAATATAAATTATTATGATATAAAATGATTCTAGTTCCACACACATATACGACACGTGAAAGATTTCTCTTCAACAAACTTTAAAGTTGTTATGAAAAAACACAATTTTTTTATTATGAGAGAATATGTATTTAACAAATAATGTAATTAATAAACAGTGTGTATTTAATCTTGATAACTAACATATTCTACCATATATGAATTTGATAAATAGTTGTTAGGGGACAAAAAAAACTAATTTTTGAAAATTTCGGGTATGCATAACAACTGAAAATAGTTTTGTTCTCTAACACTATTCTTGGAGAGATTTTTTTTTTTTTTTTTTTTTTTCTGTTTTTGTGTCAAGGAAGCGTTTCTGGACAGTAAAAATATGTTACTAGAGATTATCATAGAATATATCTTTCTTTACTTCTAAAATAATTTCATATTCAACAAGTAACAATTATATGAAATAAATATAATAAAAATTATAAAATATATATAAAAATACAATGTATAGGTTCACAATTTTGTTTAATAATATTTATTTTAGTTGCCTGATTGGAGGCCCTCGTCATCTAGCTACAAATGTGCAGGTCGAAACGCGAATGTTGTGATTGACATAATGTACTAGATGATATATTCTATGATAATTTTTTAGTAAAGTTGTGTATTACACAACCTATTATGACAATGAGAGCTTGCTTTCAAAATGAAAAAGGAGTTAAATTTGGAAACCTATAGTTAGAACAACTCCTTAGCAGACATAGCTTGATTTCGTCTCTCCGTAGTCATCCAAATAGCAGCACTCTCCCTTGAATGATGTCAAATAATCATCCCTAATTGGGTATTCAAAATCTACAACATAGAAAAATATATATCATGTAATGAAAAGGAGGAAGAGGAAAAGAAAAGGAGAGGGATGGGGAGGAGGAG